ATAATAAGGCGAACGGGGGTCAGCAGGTGGGGTGGGGTGTGATGAATTGACAGTCTGGGTAGGCAAGGATGGACATGGTGGGCACACAGTGGTAGGAGTTGGTTTCAAGTGTTTAAAACAGGCGTGTCCAAAGTCCGGCCCGTGTTCCGGTTTAATATGGCCCCACGGGTAATTTGGCAATATCTATCTTTTATGGCCCCCAATGAATCCATATGTATTGAGATGAATACATTGTAAAATCTCAGTTAAAGTCAGTTGGTCTAAATCAGTTATAAATATATTTGGACACAACATGTATACTTGGTGTTATGTTCCTGTTCATATTTTTTGAACTTAAAAGTTGACAGACAACCTTTATTACCAATAATATGTAATGTACTTTACAATGTTCCTGACATATATTTCAGCTTCCTGGATTTTTTTTTCATCTGGCCTTCAGATATGAAAGGCCGAGTGATTTAACACCTGTTTAGATTTGTCATCCATGTGACGAAATGAAAAGTATGCCGTTTGCAATAAACTTTGCATAAAATAGTTAATTTGCATTTAATTTTAATGGTTCAAAGAATGTCAGGCAAAATGGTCAGCCCTCACGCATGTTCACTTCTTCAAATCTGGCCCTCTTTGAAAAAAGTTTGGACACCCCTGCACTAAAGCAACAAAGCTTAAATATGAAGATAATTTCACCAGTAATCCACTGTGGGGTTTTGGAGCAGGAGAATTGAGGTGGTCCTAAATTTTTTTTAAAAAAGAAAAGTAAAAGAAAAGATATCTATTAAGTAGTAACTGTATTAACAAGACATGAAAATGTAAATCTGTCCAAATACAGTTTAGTTTTATAGTTAATTCTTTAATGATTTAAGTAAATTTAACCCAACATTACATATTTAAGTCCATCCTTGAGCTGAGGCACCTCTCCCCAGAATTCTAACTGCTTTTAAACACACAAATATTCACTTCCCCTAATTAGTAAAAGTGATCAGCCCTGTGGCACCTTGGAGACTCGTAAAATATATCATCATGAGCTTTTGAGGATAAAGCCCACTTCAGATGAGTTGGAGTAGAAATAACCGAAACTAAACGGGGGAGAGAAAAAGGGGTGTGTGCGCGTGTGTGTGCATGCAATGAACCATCCTTATGGTGTCCCACCCACCTCTTATGGGAATTGCACCCTGGATCATAGGTGTTGACCTACCCGGAGCCTCCGGTGAAGAGTCTTTATTTCTCTTTCCATGTCATGCTTTTGGTCCTGAAGTTTTTTAACTGTATCTGGAAAGACAAGTCAAATCCACTTTAAGATAACACATTACTCAGTGATTTGTCTATGAGCTACTGAAGCCACGTACGCATTTAAGACTTCCTCGTGAAAATGCCACTTATATTTTTCATAATTAAAATAGTTTGATTATGAAAGATATAAATTATCAGAGGGGTAGCTGCGTTAGTCTGAATCTGCAAAAGCGACAAGGAGTCCTGTGGCACCTTATAGACTAACTGAAGTGTAGGAGCATAAGCTTTCGTGGGCAAAGACCCACTTCGTCAGATGCATCAATAAATTATTAATGAATGCCTATGCATGAAGTTAATAAAATATGCATTCCTAAAAATGGGTAGTTAGTGTAATCTAGCTTGATAGGATTATTATTCTAATCTGTCTGACAATGCAAAACATTTTAAAAAATACAGCCACTAAAATGTTACCTGCAAGGAAAGCACAATGACATGGGAGGATGCTGAATATTTTGATGCCATTAACCTTTACAATGGGCTGGTATGCAAAAATGAAAATAAAACCTGTGTTACCTTCAATACTATGGGGACTAATTTAGCTACAACTATTCAAGAGAGATCTTGGAGTAACTGTGATAGTTTGCTCAAAACATCCACTCAGAGTGCAGCGGTACTAAAAACAAAACAAGGAACCAGGATGTTAGGAATCATTAAAAAGGGACAGAGAATAACACAGATATCTTATTGCCTCTATATAAAACCATGGGATGCTCACATCTTGAATCCTATCCTTTTGAGGCATATGTGAGTACAGATGTGGTCACCTCATCTCAGAGCAGATATATTGGCACTGGAAATTGTTCAGACAAGGGCAACAAAAATTAGGGGTTTGGAATGAGTCCCATATGAAAAGATTTAAACAAGATTGGGACTTTTCCACTTAGAAAAGAGGAGACTGGGGGGGGGGGGGGGAGCAAGAGAGATCTTGGAGTAACTGTGATAGTTTGCTCAAAACATCCACTCAGAGTGCAGCGGTACTAAAAACAAAACAAGGAACCAGGATGTTAGGAATCATTAAAAAGGGACAGAGAATAACACAGATATCTTATTGCCTCTATATAAAACCATGGGATGCTCACATCTTGAATCCTATCCTTTTGAGGCATATGTGAGTACAGATGTGGTCACCTCATCTCAGAGCAGATATATTGGCACTGGAAATTGTTCAGACAAGGGCAACAAAAATTAGGGGTTTGGAATGAGTCCCATATGAAAAGATTTAAACAAGATTGGGACTTTTCCACTTAGAAAAGAGGAGACTGGGGGGGGGGGGGGGAGAGGTATATAAAATTATGACTGGTATGGAAAAAGTGAAGAAAAGTTATTTACTTATTCACACATTCACTGCTTTTTTATCTTTATTCCCCTATCCTTTTGAGGCATATGTGAGTACAGATGTGGTCACCTCATCTCAGAGCAGATATATTGGCACTGGAAATTGTTCAGACAAGGGCAACAAAAATTAGGGGTTTGGAATGAGTCCCATATGAAAAGATTTAAACAAGATTGGGACTTTTCCACTTAGAAAAGAGGATCTATAAAATCATGACTTCTGTGAAAAAAGTGAAGAAAAGTTATTTACTTATTCACACAATATAAGAACTAGGGGGTCACCAAATGAAGTTAATAGGCAACAGGTTTATATAAACAAAAGGAAGTTTTTCTTCACTTAGCGCAGTCAACCTGTGGAACTCCGTGCCAAAGGATGTTGTGAAGACTAGGACTTTAACAGGGTTCACAAAAGAGCTAGACAGATTCATGGAGGTTAGGTCCATCAATGGTTAGCAGCTAAGATGGGCAGGAATGGTGTCCCTAGACTCTGAAAATGGATGACAGGAGAGGCATCATGTGATGGTTACCTGTTGTGTTCCCTCCCTCTGGGGCATCTGTATTGGCCACTGTCGGCAGACAGGGTACTGGGCTAGATGGACCTTTGGTCTGACCCAGTATGGCCATTCTTATGTTACCACACCTACAGATTCACACTTCAATTTCCTGCTGCAAGACAGCTGCAATCAGAAGGGACTCCCTTGTTCTTTCAAGAGGAATAAAAAAACTCCAATTCTTGTTTGAGAGAAGCATGAGGGGCAAACATAACAGTATATTCAATGAGATCATAAGATGTTCACTCAAATATGTCAGCAACTACACAAAGGGTATGTAGTTTGACCACCACTAATTCCTAATCTGGCGTCTGACAGACTGACTGCTGTGATTATTATTCATTTGTTGCTTTATTCAATGCACAAGAGAACAGCATGATTGATTATTCCATTCTTATAATTGAGTAACTGATGAAGAAAGACATGGAATACATTTCTCATTCACTACCACTTCACTGATCCTTGAATCTTGGGTGCACATTATTTCTGTGGTATTGTATGCATATGCAAAGATGCAGAGCCTCTTGATTTGTAGGACCACCATGATAAACCTGAATTTAAAATCATGATCTATTATACCAAAAGCAGTTATGAAGCAAATATCTTGCATTTATATTGACAGTGCTCTTCCTAATGAAGGGTGCAGACATCCAATGCAGTGGTTTCCAAACTTTTTTATACTGTGGACCAGCAAACCCATTCACAAATAAATATGCAATTATCAAATAAAATGTTGCTTGTCTAACACGTGGTGGGCAGCTGCCACGGCAGAAGCAACTGTTTAGAGCAGCTTCGGGAGCCA